TTTTGGAGGCCGATGCATATAGTCAACCACTGGTGAGATCCACTATACTTTCCATTGCTTTGACCTAGTATGACCTTGTCTGGAACTTGTCATTCATTTCCTTCAGGTTCAGATGTCTGCCAGGCCTTTTCAACCTCTTTGACATAACTGCACCAGTAGCAGACTTTAAAGTCATGACTTGTATAGTGGTCTGGATGCTGCAGTTAGTGTCTAGCATGGGTATTCCATGGGTCTGACAAGGTATACTCACACCCATACCCACAGAAAACCCATACCCATCACATGGGTATGGGTTTTTTGTGGGTTGAGTATGGGTCAGCTATGGGTCTGTATGGGTATCCCATGGGTTGCAGTGTGGGAGTCATAGTACAATAGCAGTATGCAAGTCTTTGTGCCATCACCTGCCATGCTTTTGGAGTGATGAGATGGATCTTCTGAGCTGTGTGTGATACCAGGTTTGAATTACCTAATAGAGGTACTATACAGTTATGCCACCACCACACTTCTGGAACCCTATGTTTACAACAAACCCATAAGATGGCCCATGGGTTTTCATGGGTTACTCACTGCTGACCCACACCCATACCCATGGCTACCCATACTTACAACCCATGTGGGTTGGTGCTACCCATGCCATACACTAGCTGCAGTAAGTATAAACATGCTATTGGTCCACCAATCTCAGACCTTGCTGTAAGAGAGTTTACAATCTTTATCATAATCTTCCGTGCTTTCTGCAGTCGATCTAAGTCACCCTCTACAATATCTGAATTTCGTTCAAATACAGCCTGCACTGTCTGAAATATGGTATGTGTCTTTAATGGAGACTTTGTAATATAGTCTGTAACATATGCGATGACAAACTTGACTGCAGTACCAGACAGCAAGCTGGTTACATCAGTATTACAACACAGAAGATAAGTTACCACTGGAGTATACCAGTTAATCCAGGCTTCACCCTTTTTCTGATTCAATGCACCAGTCTCAGGATCAACTGTAGTCTCTAAAAATGTATCTCTAGGAAAGCATGCTTTGCAGGAACCATTCTTATCTATACATCCTTTATGGCAAGAATGTCTGTTAGATCGATAAATAAGTTCATCGACTACATGTGTGAACTTACTCCACCATGAGGAAGATGCAGTACATAGTGAACATACACCACAATTCTCAGAACAAAATGTTGCTACTTTTTCTGGCAGTGTTTCTGTAGGTGGAACACGCATAGGGTTTGCGGTAGTCTCTTTTTCTATATGTTCTTGAACATCGGCCATAGTTCCATTCAAAAATTCTCCAACATAAACACTTTCCAAGTACTCCACCATATGTCTTTAAAAATCTGAGTTTGGATCCACTATTTTATCATGAATTTCCTGGGGTGTAAGTGCAGACTTTAGCCAGCCAAGCATATGCATATGGAGTGTTAGGCGACCCTGTTGCTCTACAGTACCATAATAACCAGAGGTTTTTCCATATAGCCCAGAATGCTTAAGTCCAACACCAAGAATATGCTTTAAAAAAAGCTCAACCATCATTTTGAAAAAGTGTGCTCCTGTCACTGGATTATTTCCAATCAGACGAATGCGATCATCATAGTTGCGAAACTCAGGAAAGTATGTCTGCTTAGTGTCTGCAAAATACAGTGCAATTGGATGATTGATGTCTGCCAGTGAAAATGTTATAAACCAGGATGGTGCTCCAAGATATGAGGTAAGTGCCCAAATTTCATTCCGCCTTTTTTCTATTTGTCTTAGAGCCATCCACCTTGCCATCCACATATTCCAAGTCATCTATTATTCTAAAGCATTCCTTCTCTTCCTCTGTTTCTGGCTTTACATGACCTTTCTCAAGTCTCTGTATCAAGTCTGTCAGTGTGTCACTATTCAGACTGAACAAACGCTCTGCAATATCAGTAAATCGAGCCTTGTCAGCAAGCAAAAATTCACCAGTAGTACATTGTTTAATTTGTTCATGATAGAATGCAATAAGTGGAAAGACACAATCAAGTGGAAGCGCTTATCATGATACATTAGAAGTTGCTTCTTTCGTTCATGATCAGATATTTTCTTAAATCCTCGAGTATTGCCAAATCCACCCAAACCATATGGGAACAACCATGGAAACATTCTTGGATATAGTTGTGGATTATTGTACAGTGATTCAACCTGTTCAGAATGTCCAACTGCAAGTACCTTGCCACCTTGTTTGAAGTATGCTATTGCTTTTGCACGAACTTTCTGTGGATCATTCTTGAGCAGTTCACTAAGTTCATCACTTGTCAAACTATGCACAGTAAATGGACATTGTCCTTCTAGTGCGTCTTGGTCTGGTTCGATATCATTTACTGCACTTGAGTCAGCATCTTTATTTGACTCTACATAGTGATAGTCCACAATAACTGGAGGTACATCCTCAGGATATTCCTGCAAATTCTTGTATGAAATCTCAAGATCAGTGTAATCCAAATGACTTAACTTCAGCCATTCAAGTGCTGCTGCAACCCGATTACGTCTTACAAGGAAAGGTGTACGTTGAAAATCAGAGGGTGTTGGCTTGGCTGGCTCAGTATATAGAAATGCAAGAACTTCATCTAAGTCTTCACATTTAGGTGGAAGCACTGAATAAACCTTGGGAATTGGCACGGCATGACATATGACATTTGCCCGCATCTTGTGCATATCAGAAGAAGCTACTCGTACAACACAGTAATTATGCATAACATGAGAGATAAGCATTTGCTCAGTCCACGAAAGGTCTTGCAACTCATCTGGCACTTCACCTAGCCATAGTCCATTAGCAAGTGCACTAACTGAGACTACTCCTTTTTGTAGTGAGCGTACACATGCAGTGCATATTTTAATACACTTTGAATCAATAATCAGTCCTTTAAGTTCTTCTATAGGATCATTCTTCATTTTACGCTCACAATGAGTAATATCAAATGCTTCAAGGAGATCTAAGTCAATATTCACTTCACTTACAGGAGTTAAACATGTTATAGGAGTAAGCATTGCACAAACTGCACATCCGGCCTCTAGAAGTTTATCTCTCACTATGTCATCACAAAAGCCTTGTATTATTTCAGTCAATAACTGCTGAGATGGAGGTAAAGGTGGAAACACATGTTGCTTCTCATAATTTATCTCTGCAAGTCTATGAACCTTCTGATAGGCAGGATCTGTGGCACGAGATTGTTGTCACTTCTGCTCTCTAAGTTGATAATTACTGTTCTGGTCTCTATATTTTTTCTGACGCTCACTACCCTGTTCAGATAATGAAGTTGCATTAAAAATACATTTAAAGTCTGCGCATTGCATGCAAGAATGTTTGAGCAATATAAATTGCACTACTGCAGCTGAAGTATGCTTGTGAGGTACAAGAATTCCATGTTGCTGACACATTTCAACTAAAAATTTTACAGGTGCTCGATTGACTATAGTTGCAAGTGGCACATTTGCAATTATATACTGTGATCCATCCTTATAATCTGAGACATCAGAAGTATTAGTAAAGAGCTAAAAACGAGCAGCAAAAGGACTATGACATTCAGATACAATATATGGTTAAATTTCTTCACAGCTCCATATACGTGTCTTTCTTAAGTTGGGTTTAACACCACCACCAATCTGTGTAAATGCGACTTTAGATGCTTGCAATATTAGGACCCCATTCAGCAAAAATCTCCCTGAATCTGGACAAGCTGACCAGTGACGCATGCTCAGATTCTCCACAAGCCAACGTGGGCCAATGAGACCCTTATATGCCCATTGCTTGGATGGGCCATCTGTGCTGTACATCTTTACCTCTGGCCCATTTATTAACTCCATTTGCACATACACAAGAAGATTGGATGGGCTGAGGCAGCATCATTAGAAAACTTTCAGTTCGGCCTACTCAGAGGCCTGCAGAAGTAAGGCCTCAGATCTTCTACTTGGCTGACAGTTGATACAGGCATACATGCCTGTAGGCAAAGTTGCACATCGACATACTTGACTCAGCCCATGGACAAGGCAAATGATCGAGTGTTCTCATGTCCGCCGATCCTTGGCTGTATTCGGTACTTTACTCTGGGCCCACCGTCAAGTGTGTACATTGAGTTTTTATGTTGGCCGATCCTTGGCTGTGTCTTATACTTTACACACAGCCGTAGCATTTTGTACCCATGATTTTCATGTCAGCCCATCCCTGGCTGTATTCGATACATTAGACTCGGCCCACCGTCAGGCATGTACCTCAAGTTTTTGTGTCGGCCGATCCTTGGCCGTGTCGGCGTAGCATTGCATACCCAAGATGTTCATGCTGGCCCACCCTTGGCTGTATTCAATACATTAGACTCAGCCCACCATCAAGCATGTACCTAGAGTTCTCCTGTCGGCCCATGTGTGACTGTATCTCACATTCTAGACTTGGCCGCTGCATCGGCGTAGCATTCCATACCCAAGATGTTTATGCCGGCCCATCCCTGGCTGTATTCGATACATTAGACTCGGCCCACCGTCAGATGTGTACCTCGAGTTTTTGTGTCGGCCGATCCTTGGCTGTATTCGATAGACTCAGCCCACTATCAGGCGTGTACCTAGAGTTCTCCTGTCGGCCCATGTGTGACTGTATCCCACATTCTAGACTTGGCCACCACGTCGGCATAGCATTTCACATCTTTGTCAGTTATAAAGGATAATCTTTAGTGCTAATAAGCACAAAAAAAGGATTAACTTCCCGCTAATTAGGCAGGCCCTTCTGGGGAGGGTTTATTTACAGATAATCCCTCTCACTGAGAAGAGTGTATCAACCATAGATCATGGAAGATTATCCTCAGATCATCCACTTCTTATCCCAAGATAATCTCCTGAGTGATCGTGTAATCCCTTGAGATCATCCAGGATTATCTTCACTTATCTCTCAGAGTTATCACACAATAGAGATCATCCATATATAAAGTATGGATTATCCTTCATATTAAGCAATATAAAGGAGGGTGAATCTAAAGGATCAACTGAGGATTAACTAGGGATAATCCTAGCATGAAGATCAAAACAGAAACAAAATGTGAGTGAAGGTACAAAGGATTAGACAAGGATATCACAGTAATAAGGATTCATGAAGGATCAAGGAGAGATTAATAAAGGATAATAGTGACAGACATAGGGATTAAGGAACAGTTGGGATCAGCATAGAGATTAAGGAAACATAGGGATCAGCATAGGTATCAAGGAAACATAGGGATTAACATAGGTATCAATGCATAGGTATCAGAAACAGATCAAGAGGAAAATCAAGTATAACAGAAACATAGCCACAAAAAGGAAGGTGGTTTGCGATAGAAGACTGATTACATCAGCCAAATGAACATGTAAACAAAATTTACTTGCAGGTGTGAAGAGACTTTCGTGGTTAAGCAGTAGCATGAGTGCACCGCTTCTCCATGACACTGACTGTGACACTGTAGAATAGTGAGCTCACTTGCAGGAGAAGTAATGAAAAAATACAACATACCAGCGCTTTTTGTTAACTGCCCGTCCTGCGGCCTTGGTGTTCGATGTAGATGTAGATGCACTGTGAAATATATGTTGCTATCAATCAAGAGGTGTTCAGCTAAAGAGACAACATACCGCGGGCCTTGTTTCCGTTTTCTACCCCTCGTCACCTTCACCATCTCTTTAATACTTCCGCCATCCTCCTCGTTATCGTCCTCTCCTTCCGCATCCACATCCATCTTTGTCAGTTATAAAAGATAATCTTTTCTATCAATAAGTAGCAAATTTTCATAAGAATTGCTACTTTTAAGTAGACTTATTTGTAGGTGCATAGATTAACTCAGGATAATCGTAATATAATCTTTCAGATAATCTGAGGATAATCTTCTGGATAATCTGAGAATAATCTGAAGATTAGCAATAAAATACAATTTTAACTTTGACACCAGCCAGGATTGAACCCTGGACCTTAGGCTGATTTTATAGAATATAATTTCAAGTAACACTTTAGACCACTTGACCATTAGGCCATACATCACAACTATCTTATATTAAATTAGACGTCTTTTTCTTGAAAAAGACTTAGCCAAATTCTGTCTATTAGAAAAGAGTAAGTAAAAGACACTTGACTTTTATCATAGATAGACAAGACTTATAAACAAACAGTACTCTGCATCTTATTATAGTCTTGTTCTACAACTTACAGTTTTTGTAAACTATCATGCAGTACTATAGAGTATCTTAATATAGTCATCTATAATATATAACAAGTTATTGAGAGACAGTATTTTATTTGTTCATTTTAGGCTTATACTCTAGAGCCTATTATATTATAGACTGAGCACTTATATATACAAGATCTTTATAGCTATCTTCTAATTGTATAGCAAAGTTCTGTTTTGCTGAAGTAACTGTAGAAACATATATTCTATTAATTACATATTGTACATTATATGAAGGCTGCAAGCATTAGAAAAGACTATAAGACTCAGAGTACTGTTTGTTTATAAGTCTTGTCTATCTATGATAAAAGTCAAGTGTCTTTTACTTACTCTTTTCTAATAGACAGAATTTGGCTAAGTCTTTTTCAAGAAAAAGATGTCTAATTTAATATAAGATAGTTGTGATGTATGGCCTAATGGTCAAGTGGTCTAAAGTGTCACTTGGAATTATATTCTATAAAATCAACCTAAGGTCCAGGGTTCAATTCTGGCTAGTGTCAAAGTTAAAATTGTATTTTATTGCTAATTTTCAGATTATTCTCAGATTATCCAGAAGATTATCCTCAGATTATCTGAAAGATTATATTACGATTATCCTGAGTTAATCTATGCACCTGCAAATAAGTCTACTTAAAAGTAGCAATTCTTATGAAAATTTGCTACTTATTGATAGAAAAGATTATCTTTCATAACTGACATCACTGCCGCATCGCTCTCATCATCGCGTTTGTGCACATCATCTGCACGCTGCTCATCAACCGCGTCCTCATGGCCTGCGATGACCTTGTCACTCTCACGTCTGACCTCCACGCTGACAGCGTCACCTGCAGTGGCAACCCCTTTCCCCTTGTTGACTGTGTGCTCACCATGAGTGACCGCAGTCTCCACGGCACTATGCTTGAGAGCGCGCATCGAAATATTGTCTGAGTCCAACAGCTCGCCATCATCATCGACATGAGTCTACACCGCGACGTCGCCATCAGCGCCACTATCACACTTATTGGCAGGACATGGGAGCTCACCGATGTGCTCACAACCACCCGCTTCCGTGAAAGTGTCTGGGCAATGACATCGTCGTCATCATCCTCCTCCTCCTCCTCATCAGGCAGTAAATAGGCATGAAAGATTGGTGGTTGAACAACAAAATGAGATGTGAGGGTGTATAGGGAGTGAGTGAGCTCAGCATGAACAGCATTTTTCCTCTACTTGCTAACCCTGCGCCATAGCAAAAGAGTCAGAAGATCCATGTAAGACGTGAGCTCAGCTTCGATATCTCCAAAGATTCTAAAATACGACATCAATTTCGCAGCATTTGTAGCAGAAATAATACTGACCACATAGTAGAAAAAAATGAACATTGAATGAAATGTGAGGTATTGTTGTCAGATAGATTCTTATTTACAGAGCAACCTGTATCGATTTCAATGTGAAAGCGTCCCTTTTACGGCAATGTTATGTACTGTTAAGTGCATCAGCGGTTTTCATTATTTATAGTAAATCCATGTAGCAGGATATATACATAAACGGCACTATGAAGACGTCGGTTTGACAAATATCTCTGCAACCTCTTCCACCGCAACCCCATACAGTAGTCAATACACTAGGTAGAACATCTTCCATAATGAACTGATGTCGATTCTGCGAAATATCATCAGAAAAGGTTCCACATAAACACACGCTGTCTCCGAAAAAGCGCACGGCATTTGGACATGCAGTGGAGGTATTGCATTTAGCAGGCATGCTACAATCTCGATTCCATGCAAAATCATATAGTCAAAAGTCGAATTTGCATCGCGTGTACTTCTCCATGGATCGTAATATGCATGGAGGAGGATAGTAATAGTTCAGAAGAGAAATCAGATTAAGAATTCCACGACATTGCAGGGTAAGGTGTGGATATGCACAACAGAACACGTCTGCTGTAATATAACTCATGAGGAGAGTCGACCAAAAAAAGACCAGAGGATAAAGGGCAGTTGTGGCTGCGCTTTGTATAATGTGTATTCAATGTTCTCCGCGGTGAAGTGGTGTGATGGTCGTGATCCCGAACTCAAAGTTATACCCTGCAGAACTGGTATCCTCTATCAAGGCATATTGTTCCACCTCAATGAGATATTGCGTGATATGCAAATGATAGCCCCGAGGGGCATATATGTTGAGATCGTTCAGAACGAATGTGCTGTCAGGATTAAAAAAATTGACAGCAAATGAACCGGATATCAGGGATTGAGATATATGCATCGTGGTGCGGAGGGCATTAGGATCACTGACAAAATGTAGCAAACAACTATTGTAGTGGTTATTCAGGTGATCAGATACGATGCCGGCAACGAAAACCTCAGAGCGACACCATACAAGAAGTGACAGGATGTCAGAGAAATGTAGGATCTGGAGAATGCAATCATCATTCAGTCTGAGGGACATTAGTACAGACAGACAGTAGATGACATAAATATACAAACCTTGTGACAGCAGCTATTGTTTTCAGATATATGACAGCGAGTGATGAAGACGAACAGGAGAAACCAATGGATATTCCATTTGTGGAATCTGTAGGAGTTGATCACATGCGCAATCCCACATGTAGCCAGAATAAAATTGCGAGATGGTGTGACATAATCTCAATCCTAGAGCTTAGAATCGTATAATGTAAATATGCATATAATCACACAGAATGTACATACAATAAATGACTCGCTTGTTTGCCTATCGCACAAGTAAAATCTGTGTTTGTTGCATTGTTGACTTCCCGTAAGCACTGCTGACCCATCGCGGCACCATCGTGCAGCCAAACCATGTTCTCGAAAGTAATGTATCGGACTACAAAGTGACCGCCGCCCAGATAGATGACTCCAGCAAAATGCCAATGGTGATTGGTTGGACCGAGGGAAAGTGTGAACATAAGGTCAATAGACACCTCATGCATGAATCCACTGTCTATTGAAGGTTGTATTTCAAGAAGAATGATCGGCAGAGAAAATATGAAGTCTGTGATCGTAGTTGTCATAGATCCACAAGAATCACATCATTGACCACAGTTATTCATCCAATGGGCATATAGAATCGATGTGACAGAGAATGGTGGAATCGCCTGTATATTGGACAGCGAATGCTGATGAATCACTACGACCACATCCCAAACAAGGTCAGTCATAGATGGTGCTGTGACATATGAATATGATCTGCAATGAAACAGCAGCTCAGCAACTTCTATTAAAGTGACAAGAGCATGACCTGTTCTAGGAAACTGCATTGCAACATCCCATGATAAACAGTCACGGAAACTGTCTCGCACATTTTCTAGAGTCAGTTGTCCATCAGATACATGACGGAAATTGCGTACGATGTCTTGGATGTAACTGTTATCAGGTATATGCTCTTCAGATATCCTGTGGTCAATAAACATGTTCCAAAGCAAGGTAAGCAGTGAATCATATGCACAACTCCAGTTGTCGGAGTCCCAAAGAACGCCATTGCGGACGTGATGGTCTGCTTCGATGGTTGATACGACGGGCTCAGTGTGTAACACAGTACGCTGGTGTTTAGATTCGAGTTCATCGACAGGAATGAACATTGCTGTGTCAGCCTTACATTTGCGTGGATGTTGTGGTTGATGTCAGTCCGATGTATTAGATGATGCAGCAGTTTGTACTATATTAAACAGTTGCGAGACTGGAGGAAGACGCAATTTGTCATCAGTAAGATCTGCCCATGATGATGCAGCAGGCACAGTAAGAGGAACATATCATTTACCCTTCCATTTCTGTAAACCATCTAACCCGAATGGCAAGTAGCCATCAAAACATATGAGGGGAGTTGATCGGTGTAACGCGCGAAAGTTACATAGTCCAGCATTTTGAGCTCTCAGAATTCCTTATGAAGTGCACCGAAAGCACCACCTCAGAGCTTATTCCGATCATATCTGTCAAGAATGAGCATACCGTGTAAATTAGAACTGCGTGATAACACAGTGTAAATCGATTGATGTTCCCGATTGTGTTTTAAGTGGCATGGATTGTTTGATCTCGTTCGTCCTTGTGAGCCATAATCTGACATCGCAAAGTTAAGAAGGATGCAAACTGGCTCTCGATCAATCTGTACGGTGCTGTCGTTAGGCATCGAACATTGAATGGTAAGTTTCGATCGTGCAAGCAGAACGACATTAGGAGGAAGATTTTGGATATGGACAGTTCTGAGTGGGTCAGTGAGCTCGACAAACAGGATGTCAAGTATTTCCTCACCCGAGGGGCTAACATGACTATTCCACTCGAGCACGGTTGCTTTGGCACCATTAGTAGTGTATAGCTCTGTGGCTTCATTTGTTTTCAGCATGACCGGCATACCTACACATAAAGGCAAGATACCTGCATGATGGCCAGTCGAACAAGGTGGAAGATTCCATAGACATTGCTGCAATTTGTCTGGAATGTGTGACGAGGTATGAGGCAGATCGACAATTTGATCATTTTCACGTTGAGCTTGATGCAGCGAGGACATGGTTGATCCCTTTTGAGGCCAGGTATCAATCGAATAAAAATAGTGTAACTTCTGCCCATGGTGTGCAGCAAATTGTGAACACATGTACGAGTTAATGGTGTTGCAATGAGCATTGAGCACTGTTATTATAGACACATACCGGAAATTATCATCCATTAGAGGAGGAGAACCGACATAACTGCCGACAACATGACTATCAAGCAATTGAAAATTATCGTGTGTACATGCTTTGTATTGCATGTTCTCCAACGCCCATCGAAATAGCTGGTCTTCAATAGACATGCCAGTCTGGTGCATGTTATGCTGCAAAATCACTACTGTCGTGAATTGATGTCACAAGGCTTTTCCCATCGCAGCTTGTTCATCTTCTTCTCGTTCTGCAGTAACACCGGAATTTACTCTATGGCTATAGAGAGATGGTTTAGCACTGACGGGAGGTAACTGCGCGAAATCACCTGCAAGTATGATACTTCGACCACCGAATGCATGTGTGAAGTCGGAACATGCATGCATCAGCTGGGCACTTATGTGATAGAGATCAGTACATGACAATATTGAAACCTCATCCAAAAAAATCAAATCGACATTGACTATTCGTTCGTAGATTTTTAACAGTGTAGTCGACATTTTGCTGGGACCAGTGCTGCCATCATGCTGCCACCCAAAGCCTAAGACAGAGTGATAGGTATTTCCATCTACCAAAGATGCCATGCCTCCAGTGGGAGCTACGACAAGAAACCTATAAGCTTTCTCACGAATGATCAAGAAAAACATCAACACATGTAAAACCTGTGACTTTCCTGTACCTCCCATGCCACCCAAATACATCCATAGCAGTTGGTCTTCATGGTGGTGGAGAACTCAAGCAGCAAGAATGAATGCCCATTGCTGTTCATCATTGAGGGAAAAATATTCAATGACTCCAGTCCATACTAGAACTGCCGGTTCTTGAAATGCATGCAAAGTCGGGTCTAAGGAAGTCGACGATGGAAAATCAAAAGCACTCAGGATTGTTACAATACCAGGAGAGTCGTTCACCTGGACAAACTGTAAGGAAGATGGTACCACTTCAGGGTACCCTTCTGACCTAGCTCTGAGCTTCAACATAATCTATATTGTGTAGTGACTAAGAGCCTCTCAGGTGTCAGACAGACCATGGCACCAATACATGTCCCAGGGCATTATATGGGATTACCCAGGGCAAAGGCAGGGCAAAGGCTGGTCCAATGGCACAATTATCATATGGGATGTCCTATAGTACTAGAGCATTGATATTTATATCCCAGTATTACTGGTTGTCTCATGGTGCCAGAGGTACTGTCCCACTATTAGTAAAAGATGTATTTTCAGGCTATTGTATGGTAGCTTTTTTATACTTTGTTCTACAATCATATTGTATAAGCTCTAATTATGTAAACGATGACTAGAATACTGTAAATAAGTGCCTTATTTGCACTTTATATATGGTGAAATATTTATAGAAAGCAGGATATCCCATATCAAGTATTGCGTATGCATTTGTAATGTTTCAAAGACTATATTACTATTGGTAGCATGTACAACAACTTCATTAGCTCATATAACAACTAAGACAGGTCGAACAACAATGTTTACTCTCATGTTTTAAAATCAATTTTACATTTTCTGACATAATGTTCAGACTAACATAATATAATCTTTGGCATATAGTATGTATCATAGCTATACTATAACTTTCACCAAGCATCTCAAGAAATAGAACTACTCAGTCTACTAGTATACTAGCAAAGAAGATATATTCTTGTCATGTCTCCTATCATATACTGTATTTGAATAAAAAAAGAAAGGCATTTGAACTAAGACTTCAGTCAAGTTACACTCAGAAATGCATTCACTGAATGACACCTGTTGGGAATACCCGGAGGAAGCAATCCGAGGGCACCCATGGAGCCCGCCACAGCGGGGAATGATTATGTAAGGGAACTTTATATAGAATGTATATAAAGAAATCTATTTCGGGAACCCGGCTGAGTAGTCGGGTCTTTCCTTCATCCGAGACATTATCGCGATATCACTTGGGAATTTATCCATTATTCTCAACAGGTTATGAGCCCCGAGACCATCTAAAACCTCGGACTTGTATCCTACTGCTGCTAACGACCAATAAAACTATCCTCACCCATACAAGAAAAACTACCCCTGTTCCAGGTGACAGGATGTCGAACGATGACAAGGACATTCCGAACAGTATGTACCGGATCCATCCTCTGAAGAAGGACAACTGGATGCCGTGGAAGAGGCACATGACCGCATTCCTGGACGAGAAGAAGCTTCTCGGCTACATCACCGGTGAGATACAGAAACCAGAGCCGAGCGCTAATCCGGATACCAGAGAAGCACGCGATGCCGAGATTCAGAAGTGGGGCGAGAAGGATCAGAGGGCGAGGAATTTGATCATCATGTGCCTGGATGATGCACAGGTGATCCATACGGAAGGAGCGACAATGGCACATCATATGTGAGATCTGCTTCGCACGGTAAAGGAGCCGAAAGGACAACATGGGATTATAGCGTTGAGTCGAGTTTTCTATGATTACCATGCTGACGAAGGTGTGAATATCCCGAAGCACATCGCCAAGCTTCGGGAGATACGCGAGCAATTACAGATGATGGGAAAGCAAATAACGGATGCAGATTTTAATGGGATCCTCATCAAGTCCCTGCCCAGCAGCTGGGACTCGTATACAGCGTCATACACTGGCGCGATGAGTTCTCAGCCAAACTCTCCGCCAATGACAACACTGGAATTGATCGCTGTAGTCATCGGCGAATATAGGTGCTGCCTCGACCACGATCAGCATGTCGAGCCAGAGCAAGCGCTTACTGCCCAAAGCCAGAAGCGGAAGCGAGACTCGATCAAGAAATGTTCTATCTGTCATAAGATGGGACACATGGCTAATGAATGCTGAAACTGAGGCAAGCCCATCTGTTCCAATTGCGGAAAGTTCGGGCACATCGGGAAAAATTGTTGGGCCAAGGGCGGCGGCAAGGAGGGACAAGCGCCTTCCAGAGTGGGACTGTCCAATGCCCCATATTGAGGCGCATCATCTGGAGAACCTCCGTACAAGCGCTGAAAATTCGAGCAGATGCGCGATGCCAGCAGCAAAAGCAAGGACAGAGCACACGTTGCACGTGAGAATGATAAAGAAGATCGTGATAGCGATATGGTATCCTTAGGCACTAGCTCGGGGAATGATGATTTTGATTCCTTCTACGACTGGTATGCCGATTCAGCGACAACGTCGCATGTCACGAAAAATTGCGATATATTCTTAACCTACAAACCCCTCGAGCATCACGCAATAAGCGGACTTGGCACTGTTCAAGCCTACGGGCGGGGAACTGTACAGCTCGAAGGTAAGGTAGGTAATAGAAAAATTAAGTTCCAATTACGTGATGTGCTATATGCACCGCGATCCCCATGCAATCTACTTTCAATACCAAGACTTGACGAAGCCGGTGGCCGAACAGTCATGGGAGATCGGCGCACAATCTTAATTGATCGCCGCGGAAAAACCCTTGCTGTTGCCAAAATGAAAGGTAGATTATATTTATTACACACCCGAGCGGTTAAGCTGCAACAAGGGAGTGCATACATAGTGTCCGAGAATGACCGGCGCACCTGGGAAGAGTGGCACCGATCATACGGACACATCAGCAAACCGCGCTACAAACTTTGCAGTGCAATCATCTAGTCGAGGGCTTACAATTTCTGCCCGGCCCGGCCAATATCGAATGCACTGCATGCATTCAAGGAAAGGCATCAAAGAAGCCATTCCCTAAAGCGGCAAGCGGGAGAAGCCATCAGCCCGGTGAGTTTATACATACCGATGTCTGGGGCCCAGCGCGGACCGCTGCAATAGGCGGGTGGAGATATTTTGTAACCTTCACAGATGATTACACACGACGAAGCACAGTCGTGTTTACCAAAACGAAGACCGAAACTACAGACAAGGTAAAGAATTATATGACCTACCTTGATCAACATTTCAGGAACAAACCACGAAAACTCCGCGTAGACAATGGGCGAGAATATAT